GCCCTGTGTAAACCTGCTGTCTAAACTGAGCCCTGTGTAAACCTGCTGTCTAAACTGAGCCCTGTGTAAACCTACTGTCTAAAACTGAGCCCTGTGTAAACAAGCTGTCTAAACTGAACCTTATTTAAACCTGTCTAAACTAAATCCTGTGTAAACCTGCTGTCTAAACTGAGCCCTGAGTAAGCCTGTCTAAACTGAACCCTGTGTAAACCTGCTGTCTAAACTGAGCCCCGAGTAAACCTGTCTAAACTGAACCCTGTGTAAACCTGCTGTCTAAACTGAGCTCTATGTAAACCTGCTGTTTAAACTGAACTCTGTGTAAACCTGCTGTTTAAACTGAACGCTGTGTAAAGATATTTTTGTTCACCTCCATCACTGCTCAGTGTTATTCTAATGTCTATAACAAGGCTGTAATACAGGATAAAGTGAAGAAACATGGTTTTCGCAAATTTCCATCGTTTCACGTTAGCCATATTTTTTTTATTATTTTCATTAGCACAATATCAAATATTGCAGTTGAAATGCTAATCTGCTAGTATTTAATTGGGCATTTTTAGACTTCTGTTTTGACCACTGTGCGTGTGTGTCCACCTGTATCTTGAACATGCCTGGTCCGAACACATTCAAAATTCATATGAGCATCCATTCGTTTTATGATCCCATTCAAGATGGCAAAATGGCAGCTATTTTTGTACTGAAAATTCATCAAAATCAAGCATTTCTGCTGTAACAGATCTGAGATCTGGATCTCAGTCATGCTTAGACAGATTTTGTTTAAACTTGGTATGTACATTGAAGTTTATGGGACCTTAACGCATATCAAACTCAAACTGGTGGTCATTTTGTTTCAGTAAAAGCAGTTATGGAGCTATACTTCTGAGATTCTCTAAATGTTCATGTTCAAACTTAATGTGTTTCTTAAACTTGAGAACTCATGGGAATATGTAATGTAATTGTGTTATTCAAAATTGACAGTGAACTACTACATTCAGTAAAATTAAACATGGTGCCTATATGTGCAAAGAAATCATACAGTGACATTCACACCTATGCGGGCGCACACACATGCTTCAAACTACATATCTTAACTTACAACTTAAGGTAGCGTTAAAGGGAAAAATGCATTTAGGGGTGGAATTTCACTTTTTTAACTTTTTATATAGCAGAAAACATCCTTGTTCTTGAGTGAAAATTTCTAAATTCTATTGTGAGTAGAACACCTTATAAACTAGGTTTAAAATTATTACAAACACACACATGTGCTACGATCTTAGTTTAACTGTTTAATTTGCATAAATCTTGCTTAATTAATGTTGATTGATCTCTGGAGCTTAACAGTAGCACCAGACCAGTTTTGTTTCCTGTTTACTTCATTTCACCACCAAGCTACCAGCAAGATTTCACAAACGCTATTTCATATCCCAATATTTATTAGTCCCCATTCGGACAAAGTCCGAAAACGGGGACTTATAATTCGGCCTCCATCTGTGCGTCCGTCCGGAGTCATATCTCAGAATCCCTTGGACCTATTCCGTTCATTCTTTGCATGTGTCTAGTACTTTATGTGGGACATATGCACATGCAGTGGTTTAGCGATTCGATTCAAAGATGGCCGACAGGCAGCCATCTTGTTTTTTTGGAAAATGTCGTATTTTGGACACGCTTTGTCAGTTTTCATTCAAATTTAGTACATAGATTATACATGTTAGGATACATGTCCATGACGATTTATTTCACAATTGGATCAAAGATGGCCGACTGGCAGCCATCTTGTTTTTTGAAAATGTTGTATTTTGGACATGCTTTGTCAGTTTTCATTCAAATTTAGTACGTAGATCATACATGTTAGGATACATGTCCCCGACCGTCCACGAGTTCCTGAGTCTGTGTGTCCGTCCGTTCGTGCGTCAGTCTGTCCAGAGTCGTATTTCAGAATCCTGTGGACCGATTTCGTTCATTCTTTGCATGTGCCTAGTATCTTATGTGGGACATATGCACATGCAGTGGCTTAGCAATTCGATTCAAAATGGCCGACAGGCAGCCATCTTGTTTTTTGAAAATGTTGCATTTTGGACATGCTTTGTCAGTTGTCATTCAAACTTGGTACATAGATTATACATGTTAGGATACATGTCCATGACGATTTATTTTGCAATTGGATCAAAGATGGTTGACTGGCAGGCAACGTGTTTTTGTTTTTATGCGGTATCTTGGACGTGCTCTGTCAGTTTTCATTCAAATTTGGCACATACATGTACTTTATACATGTTAGGATGCATGTCCATGACAATTTGTTTTAAAATCTGGTCAAGGATGACCGATCGACAGCAATCTGACTTTTTGACCTTACTACTATATTTCCACAATTTATGTACCATTTTCATTCGTATTTGGCACATACATCATACATATCAGTGTATTTCATAATCAGATCAAAGATGGCTGAATAACGGCTGTTTTTATTTTTGGCCATATTACTACTACACGAAACACGTGTTTTGATGTAAATAAACAATCTGTTGTATACGCCACTTGGAACTCAAGTTTCAAGGACACTCGCGAAAACCCCTCCGCTTTAATATGACGAGCACAAAGAGAACTTTCAAAAAATTAACGGGGACTGTGTCATTTTCAATGACTTGTTTATTATATACAACAATGCCACTCGAAGTAAAAGGGAGAAGAGGTCCAAAAAAAGAAAGACACTATGTTATTGTTTGAGGGAACAAATTTTACTGAAAGAATCAGACCGTGGTTCTTTTCGTAACTAAAGAGAAGACACAATTTTTTAGTGCATACTGTACCATAAGTGACAGCTGCACGACAGAGTCCGACAGACACTGGGTCATACATCTAGTACAACAGAAGAAACAGATATGCCAATTTCTGTCTCAACGAAAAAAGTGGGCCGTAATGACAATATAATGGAAGAAGATTCTGAAGTCCTAAGAATAATCGACCTAATGTCCGTGAACGAATGCTCAGAGAAAGCCGCGACATGTGCCCTCTGTGGAAAAGAAACTTTGACCATGCATGAAAAGACGCAACAAGGCTGGGGGAGTTTTCTTGAGTTGAGATGTTTGAATGGCGACTGTCGCCGAGCTGTGGAGATGACTTCATCAAAACAAAATGGAAAACAGAAAGAAAATTATGGGAAAGAGAGAAATCGGCAAAGGAAGACGGGCGCTCATTAAATTGTCAAATTTCATTTAACTTCTGCCACCAATTTCCGCTCACTCATACAAAAAACACACCGCTATTTTGGCTTCAAATAGTGAAGAGACGGCCGAACAGAAATTTCTGTCAGCTGTCAGAAGAGTAACAATAAAAATTTTCCCCAGAAAAAACAGAGACAATACTATTTTGATGCATAATATACTTTGACGTAGTCTATTAACGTTATTTTATTTTTATTATGACATCTGCAAGTCAGGATTTATAAACAATCGGCTGATCGGTAATTTGCAACATGTGTGTACAAGCTGTTGACTTTATAAACATAGCGGGACATCAGAAGCTTGGCTCACGAGGCAGTTTCACCAACTCCGCGTTTTGTAGAACAAAAACACACGCACAAATAGATTTGTGCCGATTTAATTATTTTTTTTAAAAACAGTGTTGTTCCAGTTGTGGTACTTGATCTTCTTGTGGTGTTTCTGCAGTGTTCATAAGGTACGCAAAGTGATATCCATGGTTTCGCGTAAATTTAAACAAAATGGCGATTATCTCAACTTCATTTTCGACTTCAACCAGGTCCTTCTAAACTATTTAACTCCCAGACTATTTTGTCATTTCCTTTGATATGTTCAGGAACAATTGTTCCGGTCTGGTACATTCAAAGCACGTTATGTGGATTTATTGTCTTGAGAAGAAAAAAAATAACCACATTGTCAATCGGCAATAGTGTTAATTACGGGTTATTTTAAAAGTGTGAACATTTTAGAAGGCAGTGTGAAAAAAATATTCAATGAAAATACTACAAACTTTTGTTCTATACTCCTAGTGAAGATGTGTTTTAAACAAGTAAAACTGCCATTCGATACACGTATGCGTTGAATAGTTTTAAACACAATTTTTAATACCGTTAGCAACCACAAAAAAATGCATCACACTTTTAAAAAGCTGGCAAAATAGGCTTTGATATTGGTATATAACATGACAAACTTTTTTTTTTTTTTTAAATCCCATGCGACAGTTTTGGACATTGAGTGTCACTGTTGTCTCTCCTGACATTTTTGTTCAGCCTAAGGTAGGATTTGAACTTGGGTCTACCGATCATGAGTCTGGTGCAACAACCACTATGCTACCAGTGAACGGTCTTGAACATGACAAACTTAACATATTTGTTAGTAGTGTAATTTATTGTTGAAAATTCCTATAAATCATAGTGCAGCACCACTTTAATATCCTAATTTTGACATTAATCATTGCATTGGTTCAATATATTACTTTCTTCATTACAGTGTGTACGTACGTCAACAGAAACCAAATGCTGCAGTTCGTGACTGTGACAGAGCAATCCATTTAAATCCAGATTCAGCTCAGCCATACAAATGGAGAGGCAAGGCACATAGGTAAAAATAGCCATTGTATAACATAGCATACTGTAGCTTTGCTATGCATTGTATACATGTATATATCTAGCATACTGTAGCTTTGCTATGCATTGTATATATCTAGCATACTGTAGCTTTGCTATGCATTGTATATATCTAGCATACTGTAGCTTTGCTATGCATTGTATATATCTAGCATACTGTAGCTTTGCTATGCATTGTATATATCTAGCATACTGTAGCTTTGCTATGCATTGTATATATCTAGCATACTGTAGCTTTGCTATGCATAGTATATATCTAGCATACTGTAGCTTTGCTATGCATTGTATATATCTAGCATACTGTAGCTTTGCTATGCATTGTATATATCTAGCATACTGTAGCTTTGCTATGCATTGTATATATCTAGCATACTGTAGCTTTGCTATGCATTGTATATATCTAGCATACTGTAGCTTTGCTATGCATTGTATATATCTAGCATACTGTAGCTTTGCTATGCATTGTATACATATATATCTAGCATACTGTAGCTTTGCTATGCATTGTATACATATATATCTAGCATACTGTAGCTTTGCTATGCATTGTATACATATATATC